AAAACACCAAAAAGCACATAATTTGTGTGATTTTCCACATAAAGTTATATTAAATGTGTGCATGAACCGTAATAAAAGGTCATTTTATTTTTCTGAGGCATTTTAATGAGAAGATTATTAATAATTTGGATACATAGTTGCTAATGTATCCTGCTAAATAATCAAAAAGAGCACCAAGGAAAAAGGTGATTCAAGCTTTTTAAGTGAACTTTTGCTAATTTATTCAATTTTCTGTCTCCAAATAGCTGCACCAAACCAATCATACATGTTTAAAATGACAGCAAAACACACGGCTAAATGAAAGTGTTTTTTTAAGTGTTACTTAGTGGGGGCTGAGCTAGCTAAAATTGTGGCTCCACAGATGGTGTCAACCCTAACTCTAAAGAAAACCTGCAAGAAGTTTCATATGAATTTCCTGTGGAGGTTCCCCGTACTTCCTGTCAGAGTGGCGTTCAGTATAAGGTAGAGATCAAAGCGAGCCTGCAGCACGATCTTAAAGTATGCACGTTAGCACGCTTAAGATCGTCAGCAGATATTTTACGTCTCCAGTTTAGGGTTGAAAGCATTCATTATTTGTACATTTTTCATCTAGCCGTGAAGAAACCCTCAACCTGCTGAGGAAGACTTTAAAGGACACGGGTTGGTGTTGCCATAAATAAATGCAGTCCCCAAAAGATCCGTCATTTCCTTTTATTCACTTTCAAACCACACAGCTTCACCTACACTAGAAGAGTCTGAAATAAAAGCTAAAACCCGACTGAGAAAGGTTTTCTTCAGTGCCTACTTGGACAGTTCACGCAACCTGATGGAGGAGCAGGAAAAACACCACACCTCCACCGCTGGTTATTAAAGGATTTGTCTGAAAACAAGGCGGAGGACAGCAGACGCTGTCGTCACGCTGAACAGTGCGGATCTGTCCCCGGGCTCCTCTTTGTGTGAGTTTGTGCACCGGTCAGCTCTGAATAGATGGTCCCTGTCTGGATCCAGCAAACTGTAAAATTTATCTAATATTGTGCACAATCACAACAGGGATCCCTTTGTGTTAAACTGAGAATGGTTACAGCATCATGGCTGCACATCAATGACAAAAGCAATAAGTGTCTCCAATTCAAAGACGCACAAGTCTACATTATGTTTTGTGCAAATCCCCACCCTTTCAATTACAGTTTCAACTATTTAGACCCCCAAAAAGTTTTTTTTCCCAGAATGATCTTTTCAAACGGCGTTTGCGTTGTAGCCATGATAAGGGGTCTCGACACTCCAACGCTGCACCAAGACTTCCTGCTTCGTTACCTGTTCCAAAGGTTTTATCATTCTTTCAAATCAGTTCGACAAAACGTTTCCCATCAAGGTCAAATAAAAGTGCTTCAGTTCCTTCTTTCTTCTTTAGACCACAAGTCGTGTTGCAACTTTGGGGACTGAGAAGTTAGTCAGTGTATGACAGCATGGTGACATTGTAAAAGTGACTTGTGCAACTTCTACATGCATCCCTCCATCCCCACCTAAAACCAGCCTCAGTCGGTACAAATAGCATCAGCATCACTTTGAACATCAGCACTAAACCCTGAGAGCGTTAATCTGAGTCATTCTGGTGTTTAACCTGTTAACGTCAGAGCCTAATGGTTACTTTTACCTTTAAAACTGACTCAGTTCTTCATATCATAGATCCACCAACGTGGTAGGAAACGTTCCTCACAGGTTCTGGTCCAGCCTGACATGACAGCATCAGCTCCATCCATGATGAGATGGATCCATTCTGGGATGTGGTGGAACCAGCGCTGATCTGGACTGCTCTTCTAGAACCAGTCCGACCCCTGACCCTAGAGACGGTTGTGGGTGAAAATCCCAGATCAGCAGTTGCTGAAATATCCAACTTCAACAATGTCTCGATGCTCTAGGTTCCTGCCATCTGACTGGCTAATTGGGTTAACAGGTATTTCTCTGTGGAGAGTGTTCACTTCTATTCAGAGGAAAGTCTGACATAAAAAAACAATACTGCCCAACCCTGAAATGCACCGACACGCACATTTCCAAATGGTCCAACTTGTAACACACACATAAAGGAGTTCCTAGTTGAAGGCAAGTTTATGTCATACTTCAAGGAAACTAAGACTTGCAAGTCGGCCTGCATGGTGGCACAGCTGGTAGAACCACTGGCTCAACTGTTGGCTTGAAGGTTGCAGCATCTTCTCACTCAGACCAAAAACATCTGTTAGGATAGTTGGAGACTTTCTAGGTTTGAGGGTATGATTGGTCGTTTGCCTTGTCTTGTCCCTATGATGGACTAGAGATCTGTCCAGACTATCCCCTGCCTCTCGCCCGATGACTGCTGGACAGACTCCAGCTCCCTGCAAGCCTACTAAAGATAATGAGTGTTTACAAGTAAACAAACAAAAGAATGCACCTTTTTAACAATCTAATCTTCGCTTCTGTGTATGTATAACGTGCATTTGCAGGGTTTCTGCAAACGGATGCAACATTTTAAGAGTTGGCCTACCTGACGCGGATAGCTCATTAAAATAAGTCACCCAGTTTTAAATATCTCTTCATGAATGTACCTTTAAACAGCATCAACCACTGAGATATGTACAGGTATGCAGAGAAGAACTGAAGATTACGTCACTGCACGAGCCGAGTTAGACAAATAAAACTCAGTCGAGATAAAACTGCACTCTGTTGGAGATGCATGAACTTTCCATATTCGGCCATCTTAACCCACTTAAGCACGGAGCTTTTTATTTGTGTAAATAAATAGAAATGGTGATTCCGTCTTTAGAATGCGTTGTTCCTCAGGGATACGGTCTCCAGCTAACAGATGCGTGAGAACTGGTTTTAGGGTGGGAACACGTTTACAACTTGCTGGAAGACAAGTTGAGACAGAATTTAAACACTGATAATTAACTCGGCTGCTTCACATCCGTGCTCATCAGTTCGCGCGCCGAGGCTAACACCAGGTGAACCGTAACCGGCGGTGTATTTTGGCTAGCTCGTCAAATCCACCAGCCAGGTAAAAAAGATGCCAGAGAGGAGAAAGGGGGGAAAGGAAAAGGTGGATATTGTCCAAATTAATCCGGAGGTGCGTTTGGCTGTTGTGTCATAATCATCAAAGCGTGGAGTCAGCTGTGGAGTTTTCGGCGAGGAACCGACTTTACTTTTGTCTTTTTCAGCTGAAGCCAGAATTAAACCCAGAGAAGAAGAACTAACGGCTGGAGGTCACACAGAGCGCGCGCCGCGCGGAAACACCTCAACTTTAATTCGTGATAAGTTCAGCATCTTACCTGGCCGCGTCGTCCCGGGGGACCAGGTCTGCGTTAATGACCGGAGCGTGTTTCTGTCCTCGCGCTCGTCCTCAAGTCGGCGCGCGAGCTGATCCGAACCAGCGGAAACCGAGTACGGAAAGCCGTTTGTGTATTTATCCCGCGCGCTGTCAGGGAACCGCTTTGCTGCGCAACCAGTTCACAACTAGAAATCACTTGTTTCACATTTTGCACTAGTTTTGTTAAAACGCCATTAACCCCAACAAACGCGCTACAACTAGTCAGCTGTTTTACACTAGTGAACCAGTCGACATAACTAGTAGATTGTGATGTGGACTAGTGACTTTGTAGTGTGACTACTTAAAGAGCAAGTCACCCCCAAATAAACTTTTTTTTGCTGATAAACTAAATAAACAAGTGTTTAATTGTGCTGCAGACATGTGTGGTCAATAATTTGGTACTTCAGTGCATCTTAGTTAAAATTTAAATTTTCTGCCTAAAACTGGCAGTGTTGTGCCATTGTCAGGTAAAAACTCTGCACTGTATTTTAATTTAAATCTGCCACCGCTATTGGCTAAGAGGTATGCTATGATGTAAACTGGTACATTATGATGTCACAATGCTGTCGTGAGCCTGTGTGTGTGTATTTGTTAGCGGCTCTTTAAAGAGCAAGTCACCCCCTACCAGATTCTTACTCAACTCCCACTTCCTGTTTGAAAAATGCAACAAATGCTGTTGCCTAGCAGACCGAGAGGGTGGAGCCTCTAACAAATACACACACTCACGACATTGTGACATCATAATGTACCATCTAACATCATAGTGTATCTCTTAGCCAATAGCGATGGCAGATTTAAATTCAAATGCAGTGCTGGTGTTTTACCTGACGACGGTGCATCACTGACAGTTTTAGGCAGAATATTTAAATTTTAACTAAGATGAACTAAAATGCCGAATTATTGACTACACGTGTCTACAGCACGATCAGACACTCATTCATATAGTTTGTCAGCAAAAAAATGTTGATTTGGAGTGACTTGCTCTTTAATGAAGTCTGAAGTGCTCAGTAGTTGGCTCTCTTATTATCTTCCCATTTAACCAGTGTGTCTAAGGTGCTGACTAAACAAGCCCACTGGTAAATAACTAGTTAACATTTAGAGCTTTCTATGCTACTAATTGAGCCCGAGATCAAACACACTAGTTGACTGATTCATTCTGCCCTACTGACCTTTTAGGAGCACTAGTCAACTAGTGTACCATTTACTTGCATTACCTAGTAATGTCTACAAATGTTACCTCATTGACTAGTGAGCCTTTGGGGATTCACCTGCTGACATTTGATTGCACTATTGTAGTAGTTACTAGCTGACTAGTCAGCATAGCTGATGTTGGTAGAATTTGTGTTGGCCATTTAAAAAAAATCAGTGTTTGAGTATAACTAAGTTTATGCGGTCAACAACTAGTTTGATCAAGTAGTTTATCAACTAGTACTAGCACAACTTCAGCAGGATAAAGGTTCTAGTAGTTATCAAGTGAAGCCTCACATAAAACCAGTGTCCAACTAGTAAAGCAAAAATGACATCAGTCAAGAAGATCACATTAATACATTAAAGGCTTGCCATACCTGACATCCTAACTACTGTGAGTTAATTCAGTTTCACCATGAAGCATCTTTTTTGGGGGGTTTTAGATTAAATAACTCCAGCAGAAGCACGTTTCTGAAGAACAAGTCTGGAGACTCGGTGAAAGGTAAAGTTTTTATTGCATCAATTTGAATTCTGATTCTAACAGCTGCAGGAACCAAGTGTGAGAGAAGTACAAGTGGATCCCAGACATTCTGAAGAGAAAAGTGGTAACTGGACATTCAAATGGTACAGCTAACTTCACACAAGTGTCTCCTTTCTGTCCATCACAAAATCTGCACTTCTATACTGCATTTTCACTGCAAAACGGGGGGAGTTGTCCAATATTTAAAGTCCACTTAGAAGAAGCTGCACGTCTCATCTTGGCTTTGTTTTTCTTAACACAACACTCTGCACCTTTGGATGCCACTGTGGGTATTAGAAGTAAAAGATGGGTCTTTTTTGACATTTTCCATAGATGACTTTAGAGTGAAAGGTTCAACTGTGCCTTAGCGTGGTACTCGCACTCATCCTCACTTTTTCTACTGTGCAGATGCCCGTCCAGCTGAGATATGAGGACATTAATGAGACAATAACAAAACACTCAAATGCAGTATACAAGCCCAAACTCTGTGTTGATTAAGACTTGGAGCAACTACCCCATCTACAGGTTAGTTGTTGTACTGCAACGATAGAAGGGAAATGATTCAAAAAGTGATTGTTGCTGGAACTGTTTGTCGGTAGACCAGCCACATATTAAAACAAAATGACCACTTACGCTCTCCTGCGCTTCCAAAAGTAACTTGGTCACTCGACTGTCAGTGGAAAAACTTCTGATTTACCTGAATTTCTTTGCCACCACGTTCTATTTCAAATAAAGGAGTCAGATGGGGGCTCTAATGTTAATGTTACATATAACCATACTATGCTCATATAATTAATAAAAAAATAAATACATTTAACAAATACAAATGATTCTGTAGAAGGTCATTTCCAAATAAACAGATTATCCCCACAGTTTGATCGTTGACACATTTCAAGTTAAGGATTTTCAATAAAACCATTATCACCACAAATATATACTCAAAGGTGTCTTAAAGCCTCTCCGGCGGGCGGCGCTACGGAGTGAGACGACGCTCATCTACGGGACGTGACGTGAGCTTGGAGTCGCTCTGCACCAAACGGCGGCGCCGCTGCACACTTGGAGCAGTCGGGAGTAAAAGTAGATGCTGATGATTTCTGTTGGCAACGGGACCAAAACTCCTCTTGGATTTTGGGAGAACAGCAGCCGGACACAAGACAGCCATCTTGTATAAAGGTCATATGAAACAAACGTTTTTTTTTACTAGCGCTTGAACTTTTTTGGTTTGTTGGTTTTTGTTACAAACTGTTACCTGTTCAGACGTAAAACAGAGTCACTCAACAAAAGACTTCATGCACAAGTCACGTCCCTCTCTAACCGATTGCTTTTGGAAGTGACCGTCTTTTAAAAAGGGGTACATTTGTTGTTCAACGTAGCATTTTTTTAGAACATTTTTTGCAATTTTCTTCTTATTTGAATATTTTTTTTAAATAGCTTTGATTTTTTTTTTTTTTTTTTTGAGCCAGCAGTTCACGATATTGCTCCAGAGTTGGTTCCAGACACCCAAGCGGTCCAATCCTGTACAGCAGGAGGCACAAGAGGCTGTTGGCTGTGGGAAGATAAAACCGCTCCGTAAAGGAAGCCGTCCGGAAGCAAATGAATGGTTTTAGTTTGTAATTCCATTCAGGTCCATGTAATTTATCCTAATTCCAACAAGACCGCTTAATCGTTCCCGTTTCTGTTAGAAAATGTTTGTCACCTTAAAAAAGGGAGACGGACTCTGCTAACAGTCCTCCGAGGCTCTTGAGTGGCAGCAGAGTTTGGACAGCAGATTGAGTCAGTTACGGGTGAGGACGGGGGAGACGGGGGGGAGGCAGGGTACCGATGTCACCCCTATCTGCAGAGATCCTCTTGTGTGGGCTCTCGTACGTTTTTCCTCCTCTTGCTGTTGCCCCGGTGGTTGGGCTTGTTGCTCGGGTGACTTTTGGAGCTGAAGGAGTTCTGCTGCCCGTGGTGTCCGCTCTTGTTGGGACGAGACATCCGGCCCTGCAGGCGGAGCACAAAGCAACAAGACTTCTTTTAGCATTTAATCACCAGAAACGACAGGAAAGCGCAACATCAGGAATATGCGGATATTACTCTGGCGATAAATAAAGTTTGCGAAGCGCCACAACAACGTTCAGAACTAGGGCCCGACCGATATATCGGCCGGCCAATATTGGGGTCATTAACAGTATCGACTATCGGCCAAAAAGACGGCCGATATTGCGCAACCTATCCAGCAGATGGCGCCAGCTTTATGAACTCATGTTTTGTGGCTCCGCTCCTTTGAACTTTGAACACAAATTATCGTTTTGGAACTTTTTTTAAAATTTATTCTTATTTATGTTCCTTATGTGCAGTTATTTCCTGTCCAGGGTGAATACATTCACCAAGTTAACTTCCACAGAGTGTCACTCTGTTACAAAGCACAAGGATTGCGTTTTATTTATTGCTGCATTTTTATTATTTTAATATTCTTACAGGGATCTTCTGTCCCTAAACGTGTGTGTGTGTTGTTAGATTCCCCAGAGTTAGCCAAGTCAGAAAAAACATGTTGTAACCAGTTTTAGCATAAAGCAGTGGAAGGGAAGGCTTGAATTCACCTACATAAAAAGCACTACAGTGAATGTGATTTCACTTACGTCGTTTTATGCTGAACTAAGAAAACCAACTGCTGCCAGATCATATTGGGCTGGTTATAAAATGGTTTTCCTGACTTGTCCAACTCTGGGGAATCTTCACAAGACACAACTTTACTGAGCGGTGGAATATTCCTTTAAGTTAAAATGTATTTGTGGAAACCACAGTTTACACGAAAAAACTTGAATGTTAGATTTATGCTGCGACTGAGTTTGTGTGTTCTGTTGTTTTTGAGATCTGCTAAATAAATCTCATTTGCATTACTTGGAAACCCTGGCGAGTTATGGAGGCAGTTCTTTGGTGTGTGATTGAGAAATATCGGCTATCGGCCTTTGTTAAGTTTTATATCGGTCCCAAAAAAAGCACATCGGTCGGGCCCAATCTTATTTTGTTTCCATGGAAACAGAATTGGAATATCTAAGTTATTTAATCTCTCTGAAGTTTCTTCAAGCCTTTTTCTTTGGGCCGCTTTTTATTTGCTTTAATTGGACTCGTTACTGACCCGGGAACTAGGTCCACTCTAAAACTCTGATATTTTACAAGATTTTTCAGGCAGTTTGAGGTTTTTTTTTTTTTATGCTTGTGATAAAAATTTTCTAAAATTTACAGAAAATGTGCTTTAGACTTGATTTTTTGTTTTTCTTAAGATAAAATAAACATTTTGGAAACAAATCCTGATAAATGGGAGCAAAGACTCTTAATCAAGGCTTTTTTCTTCATTATAACGAGATGTTTAAAATCCTGACACAATTCAAAGCAACTAAAGGTACGCAAAATTATGCTTCATTACTAGGGAACAACTTGGGGGTTAATGAAGCAGGAAAGAATAGGTAGTTAACCAGTAGTTACTGGTAAACACCCAGCAGTCTTATTCAGGGACCAATAGGTAGTTATCTATTGGGCCATTCCCATCTGTACCGGGTCGGCCCGGGCCGGGTAGCCCCAGTCGGCCCCAGCCTGGCCCAGTTAATTCCACACATCCTTGTCTTAAGCCCACGTGGGCTGATTCTACCCACCAATCAGAGGCTTGCTCTAATGGAAGGTGTGAATTTGCTGTCAGCAGTGGGTGTGTTGGCCCTGGTCGGCCTGAAGCAGACCCCCTCGAGAAGAGGGCTGAGAATGAGCCTTGGTTGGCCCGGAAAAATACCAGGCCACCCAGATATGTAAACAACCTACGTTACCCGGCCCGGGCCGACCCGGTACAGATGGGAATGGCCCATATGTGTGCTTTGTTACTAGGGAACGACCTAAAGGGCACTGAGTAATGAAGCAGGGAAGAATAGGTAGTTTAGTGTTTTTACATGTTGATTTCAAAGTTTAAAAATGTAAAAGTTAATTTTTGTGTACTTTTCTCATTACTTAAAAAGTACCCTAAACATTGAGCATGTTGTTAGTGATTGATTTGAGCCAGGTACCACCGTAACCTGCAGGATTTTGGTCACCCATCTCTGGAATATGACCACACACAAGATGAAAGAAAATGATGTGTGAATGAGCTCAATGTCTTTATGGCAAATGGCCGTGTAAAAACATATAATGGTTAAGTATTGGGTAAGTACAGATTAGTTCCTGAGTAAGTACTTGGGAGGAGGCTTCACTTTCCATCATCTCGAGATGGATGGATGCCGACGATGGACGACAAAGTGGCAGACGAGTGAAATCAAGATGAAACAGGGATGTTAAATCACTGTGATGCTGCAAATTATCTGCATCCTTCATGAAGTTTACAAGAGAGTCCACAGGCACCTCATTCATCTGGGATTCGTTCCTTATTCCGTTCATAGATAACTACCTATTAGACCCTGAATAAGACCAGTAAGTACTGCTTAACTACCTATTAGTCCCTGAATAAGACCAGTAAGTACTGCTTAACTACCTATTAGTCCCTGAATAAGACCAGTAAGTACTGCTTAACTACCTATTAGTCCCTGAATAAGACCAGTAAGTACTGCTTAACTACCTATTAGACCCTGAATAAGACTGCTGAGCATTTTCACCAGTAACTATTGCTTAACTACCTATTAGACCCTGAATAAGACCAGTAAGTACTGCTTAACTACCTATTAGTCCCTGAATAAGACCAGTAAGTACTGCTTAACTACCTATTAGTCCCTGAATAAGACCAGTAAGTACTGCTTAACTACCTATTAGTCCCTGAATAAGACCAGTAAGTACTGCTTAACTACCTATTAGACCCTGAATAAGACTGCTGAGCATTTTCACCAGTAACTATTGCTTAACTACCTATTAGACCCTGAATAAGACCAGTAAGTACTGCTTAACTACCTATTAGACCCTGAATAAGACCAGTAAGTACTGCTTAACTACCTATTAGACCCTGAATAAGACTGCTGAGCATTTTCACCAGTAACTACTGGTTAGCTTTCTTCCCTGCGTCATTACTCATTTCCCCTTAAGTCGTTCTTTAGTAACAAAGCACAATTTCGCGTACCTTATAATAAAGTGTTAGCCATTATTTGGAGCTAATGCAAATCAATCTATATATTTGAACAATTTCATTTTAGAAAACTATTTTTTATTTTTGGGAAAACAAACCAGGAAAAGGCTAAATGTTTTCCCATTTCAGACTCATTTAAACTTTATTTAACCAGATGAGTCTATTGAGAACTCGTTCTCATTCACGACGTTGATCTGGCCAAGAGGCAGCAGCAACAGACACATAGTTAGCTTTACACCAAAGAAAAATAGATTCATGAGGCAAAAATAGGATTAAACAGTTGGACATAAAGATAAAGGACTGATCAAAACAGACATGAAACCATCTTAAAGCACTCAGAAGCAGGCACATTGATCAGAAACTGTTGAAGGTAGATAATGGAATGTAGGTATTGAGCTTCTGTGATATTTGCAGCTCATTCTGGTCGTCGGAAGCAGCAAACTGGAATGAGGAGCGGCCAATATAATCATAAAAATATAACACAAAAAATAGCAAAAATACATAATTTTTCCAAGATGCGAGCATCTGGCTGTGATTAAATCTTTACAAAACAGCAAATTATTTTTATCATGATTTTTATTTTAGCAGCAGCCTCTCAAAAACACACAATGTGTTCCCATTTGTTGCTGCATGTAAGAAAAGAGCCAAACAGAACAAGATTGAGAGAAAATGTCTCTTAGCACCAAAAAGGTGATTTTCACAGACCTTTCTGGTTTTCTGTTACTTAAATTCTCTTTCAGTTTCTTCTTTCTAAATTCGTTATTATAATTACACTGGTGTGAAAAACTATTTGCCGCTTTCCTGATTTCTTGTTCTTTTGCATGTTTGTCACACAAAATGTTTCTGATCATCAAACACATGTAACCATTAGTCAAAGATAACACAAGTAAACACAAAATGCAGTTTTGAAATGATGGATTTTATTATTTAGGGAGAGAACAAAATACAAACCTACATGGCCCTGTGTGAAAAAGTAATTGCCCCCTGAACCTAATAACTGGTTGGGCCTCCCTTAGCAGCAATAACTGCAATCAAGCGTTTGCGATAACTTGCTACGAGTCTTTTACAGCGCTCTGGAGGAATTTTGGCCCACTCATCTTTGCAGAATTGTTGTAATTCAGCTTTATTTGAGGGTTTTCTAGCATGAACCGCCTTTTTAAGGTCATGCCATAGCATCTCAGTAGGATTCAGGTCAGGACATTGACTAGGCCACTCCAACGTCTTCATTTTGTTGTTCTTCAGCCATTCAGAGGTGGATTTGCTGGTGTGTTTTGGGTCCTTGTCCTGCTGCAGCACCCAAGATGGCTTCAGCTTTAGTTGACCAACAGATGGCCGGACATTCTCCTTCAGGATGTTTTGGTAGACAGTAGAATTCATGGTTCCATTTATAACAGCAAGCCTTCCAGTTCCTGAAGCAGCAACACAACCCCAGACCATCACACTACCACCACCATATTTTACTGTTGGTATGATGCTCTTTGTCTGAAATGCTGTGTTACTTCTACGCCAGATGGAACGGGACATTTGCCTTCCAGAAAGTTCAACTTTTGTCTCATCAGTCCACGAGGCATTTTCCCACAAGTCTTGGCAATCATTGAGATGTTTCTTAGCTAAACTGAGACGAGCCCTAATGTTCTTTTTGCTTAACAGTGGTTTGCGTCTTGGAAATCGGCCATGCAGGCCATTTTTGCCTAGTCTCTTTCTTATGGTGGAGTCGTGAACACTGACCTTAATGGAGGCAAGTGAGGCCTGCAGTTGTCCTGGGGTCTTTTGTGACCTCTCGGATGAGTTGCCTCTGCGATCTTGGGGTAATTTTGGTCGGCCGCCCACTCCTGGGAAGGTTCACCACTGTTCCATGTTGTTGCCATTTGTGGATAATGGCTCTCACTGTGGTTCGCTGGAGTCCCAAAGCTTTAGCAATGGCTTTATAACCTTTACCAGACTGATAGATCTCAATTACTTTTGTTCTCATTTGTTCTTGAATTTCTTTGGATCTTGGCCTGATGTCTAGCTTTTGAGGTGTTTTTGGTCTACTTCTCTGTGTCAGGCAGCTCATATTTAAGTGATTTCTTGATTGAAACAGGTGTGGCAGTAATCAGGCTTGGGGGTGGCTACAGAAATTGAACTCAGGTGTGAAACACCACAGTTGGGTTATTTTTGAACAAGAGGGGCAATTACTTTTTCACACAGGGCAATGTAGGCTTGGATTTTGTTCTCTCCCTAAATAATAAAATCCATCATTTCAAAACTGCATTTTGTGTTTACTTGTGTTATCTTTGACTAACGGTTAAATGTGTTTGATCATCAGAAACATTTTGTGTGACAAACATGCAAAAGAACAAGAAATCAGGATGGGGCAAATAGTTTTTCACACCACTGTAGGTAATTCTTGCATCAGCTTTAGTCGGAAACTAAAACCAAAAGCAAAAGAATAAAAACAATACATAGAAATTGATAAGGATTGTTGCATAGCAATGCTGAAGCAGACAGTACCTTTCCTCCTTTGGGTCCTGCAGACGGAGTGCTGGCCGCGTGGTTCTGCGTGCGATGATTCCCGACCACTGCAGGCTTCTCTCTGTGAGAACTGGAGCTTCGGCCTGACTGCTGCTTAGCCGTTTTACACGGCGTTCCATCGGAGTCCTGGAAGAAGGCAACGACACGTACGTGAAGATTATTTCTGTATTTAAATGTGTTTTAACATTCTCGGTCCGTAGCTGCAGGGACTCACCGCGTCGCTGGAAGACGTAAAAGACGGCGTCAGAGGAGAAGACGAGGGAGAGGAGGGCAGGGAGAGGGGAGGAGAGGACAGGTTTGAGGAAGACTTGCTGTGGGGAGCCGGCGTATGAACCACCACCACATCCTCGTTGTCCGGAACGTTGTTGTTGCGCTCGTCGAGCTGCTTAGACCCGAATAACGTCACGTCGTTCCCTGCGGGAGCAGAGGAAAGATGAGTGTGTGTGTGTGTGTGTGTGTGTGTGTGTGTGTGTGTGTGTGTGTGTGTGTGTGTGTGTGTGTGTGTGTGTGTGTGTGTGTGTGTGTGTGTGTGTGTGTGTGTGTGTGTGTGTGTGTGTGTGTGTGTGTGTGTGTGTTAGCTGTAGCTCAGAGAGAGAAGAACATACTGTTAAGTGAGTCATTCTGAGAGGGGGTCCCCCAGTTCTTTCGGATCCAATCCCTGTACTCGTCCACTTCCTGAGTCACCCGGATTATCCGGCCGAGGATACTTCAGCAGAAGAGGAAAGGCTGTTACTCACATGTTTATTTGTAGATGAATTCATTAGCTTTCCCAGCTGTTCCGACAGGTTCAGCTCCTTACCTCTCGTTCTCGTTGTTGGGGTAGTACTTGGCCATGGGTGACACTGCGTGGCTGAGGACCATGTAGGCGTAGTCGAACGCCTGCTTCACCTGCATGGCGCCGTACGAGCTCCTGCCAACATCGTTTTCTATCCGACACAAGGCAGTAAAAAAAAGTGAAATCGTGACACCTTTAGAGGGAATTCTGACTCCCGCCCTCTTCATACCGGGCTGCAGAGGGTCCTCAATGTAGAGCATGGAGGGCCTGTATCCGTCCATCATGCTTTTCTGAACCTCGTCTTTGGCGACGTAGGAGCCGCCATCTTTTATCCTGATGCCCGTTTTCAGGTAGTTGAAGTTCCGGCCGTAGAGCTCGAAGAACTCAATCAGCAGAACTCCGTAGTTGATGTTGGGACTGGACACGTCCTCCCTGTAGTGAAGCTGAGGAACAGAAGGACTCAAGCAAATAAAATTTCCATAATGTGGATGAGAATTAAAGCTCAGCTCTGTCGGAAATTTAAATCGGAACGACTTTTTTCTTATTCTAAACAAGAAAGAAACAGACAGACCTGCAGGAAGCTCACGGCCATGAGAAAGAGACTGTAGGAACCAATTCCACCAGTGAAAACCTCGTTTAGGTCTCTCTGCAGGAGGAACTGCTTCAGCACCAGGACCAGGTAAGGCAACACGGGGTATTTCTACAGGTGAGGTTAAGAATTACACACATGAAAAAATATGAACCCTGTAACAGATAACCTGCTGTTGAGTGGTTATTTTAAGGCCGGATTCTACATGTGTGGTTTGTTGCGTTTCCCCGAAGCTCTGAGCTAATTCAGTTGTTTTCTATGCGCAGCCGCTTCTTTCTAATTGGGAGGAGCCTGATCTGAACTCGAGTGGGGTTTCGTTATTGGACTGCTGTGCAAGCCGCAGTTCGGCCATAACGAACACCATGTTCGAACATAAGGATGCCCATCGGTACACTTGGTACCAGGGCAGCCTAGGTCGCAGGTCGATGATAGACTTTGTAGTCGTATCATCTGACCTGCGGCCGTATGTTTTGGACACCCGAGTGAAGAGAGGAGCGGAGCTGTCAACTGATCACCAACTGGTGGTGAGTTGGATCAGATGGTAGGGGAAGATGCCGCATAGACCTGGCAGACCCATACGCATAGTGAGGGTCTGCTGGGAACGCCTGGCAGAAGAACCTGTCAGGACGGTCTTCAACTCCCACCTCCGGCAGAGCTTTGACCGCGTCCTGAGACCAGTGGGGGACATTGACTCCCGAGTGGGCCTTGTTCCACTCTGCGATTGTCGAGGCGGCTGTTGCTAGCTGTGGTCGCAAGGTGGCCGGTGCCAGTCGTGGTGGCAACCCCCGTACCCGCTGGTGGACACCAGAGGTTCGGGGAGCCGTCAGGCTGAAGAAGGAGGCCTACAGGGCGTGGCTGGTCTGTGGGTCACCGGAGGCAGCAGACAGGTACCGGATAGCCAAGCGTGGTGCAGCAGTGGCAGTTGCTGAGGCTAAATCTCGGGCGTGGGAGGAGTTTAGTGAGGCCATGGAGAAAGACTATCGATCGGCTCCAAAGAGGTTCTGGCAAACTGTCCGGCGCCTCAGGAGAGGAAGGCAGCAACTCGCTCACACTGTTTACAGTGGGGATGGGGAGCTGCTGACGTCAACTGGGGCTATAGTCGGACGGTGGAAGGAATACTTTGAAGAGTTCCTCAATCCCAACTATGTGCATTCTGAGGAGGAACCAGAGCTGGGAGACCTGGAGATGGACTGTCCAATCTCGGGGGCAGCAGTTGCTGAGGTAGTCAAACAACTACACAGCGGCGGAGCCCCGGGGGCGGATGAGATTCGTCCTGGGTATCTCAAGGCTATGGATGTTGTAGGGCTGTGGTGGTTGGCACATCTTTGCAACATTGCGTGGTCATCGGGGGCAGTTCCTGTGGAGTGGCAGACCGGGGTTGTGGTCCCCATCTTTAAGAAGGGTGACCTGAGGGTGTGTTCCAACTATAGGGGGATCACACTCCTCAGCCTCCCTGGAAAGGTCTACTCCAAGGTACTGGAGAGGAGGGTCCGGTCGATAGTTGAATCTCAGATTGAGGAGGAGCAATGTGGTTTTCGCCCTGGCCGTGGAACTGTGGACCAGCTCTATACCCTTGCAAGGGTGATGGAGGGGGCATGGGAGTTTGCCCAACCAATCCACATGTGTTCTGTGGATTTGGAGAAGGCTTATGACCGTGTCCCCAGGGGCACCCTGTGGGGGACGCTCCAGGAGTATGGGGTGGGTGGCTTTCTGTTAAGGGCCATTCAGTCCCTTTACCAGAGGAGCGTGAGTTTGGTCCGCATAGCCGGTAGTAAGTCGGACCTGTTCCCAGTGAGGGTTGGACTCCGCCAGGGCTGCCCTTTGTCACCGGTTCTGTTCATCACTTTTATGGACAGAATTTCTAGACGCAGCAGTGGTGTGGAGTGTGTCGAGTTTGGTGGCAGAAGAATCTCGTCTCTGCTTTTTGCGGATGATGTGGTCCTCCTAGCGTCATCCAGCTCTGACCTTCAGCTCTTGCTGGGTAGGTTTGCGGCCGAGTGTGAAGCGGCTGGGATGAGGATCAGCACCTCCAAATCTGAGACCATGGTTCTCGACCGGAAAAGGGTGGCTTGCCACCTCCGGGTCGGGGGAGAGGTCCTACCTCAAGTGGAGGAGTTTAAGTATCTCGAGGTCTTGTTCACGAGTGAGGGTAGGAGGGATCGGGAGGTCGACAGGTGGATTGGTTCGGCGTCTGCAGTGATGCGGACGCTGGGCCGATCTGTCGTGGTGAAGAGGGAGCTGAGCCAGAAAGCCAGGCTCTCGATTTACCGGTCGATCTACGTCCCAATCCTCACCTATGGTCATGAGCTTTGGGTAATGACCGAAAGAACGAGATCGCGGATACAAGCGGCCGAAATGAGTTTCCTCCGTAGGGTGGCCGGGCTCAGCCTTAGAGATAGGGTTAGGAGCTCGGACATTCGGGAGGGACTCGGAGTAGAACCGCTGCTCCTCCGGATCGAAAGGAGTCAGTTGAGGTGGTTTGGGCATCTGGTCAGGATGCCTCCTGGACGCCTCCCTGGGGAGGTGTTTCGGGCATGTCCTGCCGGCAAGTGGCCCCCAGGTCGACCCAGGACACGTTGGAGAGGTTACATCTCCAATCTGGTCCGGGAACGCCTTGGGGTCCTGCCGGAGGAGCTGGTGGAGGTGGCCGGGGAGAGGACGGTCTGGAGCTCCCATGATGGTGCTTGTACAACAGCACCCCGGCGCAGCAGCTCACCTCCTTGAACTCCTTGATGAGCCGAGCGGCTTTGACTCCACTTTGCACGTTGAAGCTGATGTCCACTTTGACTTCGGTGAAGGAGTCGGTCAGTTTGATGATGGGAACCTGAAAAAACAAAAAGTACATGTATCCATGACGCTCTGTTATTTAAATGTGATTTACGAATTAGCAGAAAGGGGCAACCAGGAAGTCAGGGTTGTTAAAAATGCAACTGGTTAACCCAACCTGTTACCCTGAGAAATGTGGATAAAACTCCTAGATCTATATAGGAGTACACCAACTATACGGCTGAGCTTACCGTTGCTTTATCCAAGACTTTGATGGAATTTTCATCTGCGATGTTCCTCTTTCGGAGAGCTTCTTCCAGCGTCCAGAGAGGAAGTGTCTCCCACTTCCCAAAGACGACCAGGTCGATGTCACTGCAGACAGTAAAATATTAGAACAGAATAGAAAAGAATACTTTATTTGTCAATTTCTTCGAATGTGCTTGCCATACAAGGAATTGAAATTACGTTTCACACTGTCCCATGCGTCGACATTAGCATAAAGTGCAGATGCACAACAATAACAAAAAACATCCCTAACAATAAGATAATATTAAACAGGTAAAATCGCTAATAATACATATAGCAGCAGGTGTGTGCAATTGCATTGCAGAGGTAGTTGTTTACAATCAGAAATGTTTACCCCGTTCTTGGTTCAACCGCTATTTCCTTTTTTGTATAATGTGCATGTATGTGTGTGTGTGTGTTTGTGTGAGGATATTCCATCATCAATAATAATATGTGATTTTAAATCATCGACCAGTAACTGTTCCATCTGCAGAGACACCTTATATTTTTATGTTTATTTTAAATTAACACACAATTAAACATTTTTCTTTACGTTTCCTCTTGCAGACGACTTTGCTTCCCTCTGGTGGGAATCCTGTGCAACTTCCCAGTGTGGTTGAGGAAGTCTGCCAGTATCGTTTCTCAATCAGCAGCGCCAGAGCACTTGTTGAAGCCACAGCGTTTGACACAACAGGCCAAGTTAAATGAGGAGGATTCAAATTGTTCAAATGTGTTAAAACAACCATTAAAGATGTCTTCGACACCAACGCTTTGCTTCTAGTTGGTTGTCACCCAGTGAGGTCACTGGGTTATTGTGGATCAGCATCTTTTAAATAATTAAACACAAAATGACGGTCAGAACCGACCAGTAGACCACTCTAGTCTTATTTATGTGATCATTTAAGTGAAATGTTATCCTGAAACTGCTCAGCACAAGGATTCAGCCTCATTTCTGCAACAAAACTCGACCTTTGACGAGCTGAGAGTCCCTCTGTCACTTTTCCCTGAACAGCTCCAGCTAAGTTTTCAGAATAAACCCTACACGTAGCTTCCCCTGAGCTCACAGCTGAGACATATTCACCATCATTTCACTGCTGTCAACATCAGCTGGTTTGGCCACAAACTGCACAGAGGAAGAGGAAGAGCACAGCAGCGGATTCTGATGTAAACAAATTAACGAGAAGAAGAGGTATCAGACTCCTTCTGTGGGAAACACTGAGCAGGTAAGTATTTCTGGTGAGAAGCCAAACTGTGCTTTGGCAAAGGCAGGATGGGATTTACATACATTTGAATCTCTCAGGTGGTTTTAAAACAACGACATCAACGCTCACCTTGTTGGTAGATAAAGGCCGGTGCTGAAACTCCCAAACACTTGGACCTGCACAAGTGGAAACAAGGATTAGTCCTTTCATTTTCAGGATAAGGGGAATTTATCACAAGAAAATTTTTATAATCAGGTTTCTAAATATATATATATAAACAATTGCAAGCTTGCGTTCTCTGTCTTGTTGGATGGAGGTTTAGAAGAGAGCTCAACTCTGTCCGTCCCCGCGAGCCTGCAGGAGAGCCCTCGAAAGGACGGATAATGGCCTGCGTGCGTCCGTCCCGACGCAGCTCCGCAAGGGAGAGATGCACACGCATGTGACAGACGTTTTGCCTTCAGGCTTCTCCGTCAGCTGGGGAGTGTCGCAAAACGATTCCCCGCCAGGACAACAGAGGGTGCAAGTATCCTGCCACCATAGGGCTGGGCGATTTATCGATATTTTTTAAATATCGTTATAATTTTTAAACAAGATATAAGACGACTTTATATTTTTATATCGATATAACTAGTCATGCTGCTATGCTAGCGACTAGCCGCTATGCTAGCGACATGTTGCTCCATCTCCAAGCAGTTATTACGTGTAGTCTCACACAAGTTTGCTCAATCTGAGAGCCTCTGGGTAAATGTGCTGCTCTAAACTTTGCATTTGGCGTTCTGGTTTTTAATTATTTGGGGACGTTCAACGCCAACGGAGTTCTGTTTTCCATCCTGCTTGTGCGGAGACAGAGAGAGGAGCCAAACCCCTCCCTCCCGTGTAATGGGAAACATCTACGGATAGCCGGAGTGGCCAAATGACCTCAAACATATTGTAAGGTTTTGAATATTTAACTATAGGGTTAACGTTTTATTTTGAAGGCGAGCTCAACGGGTGAGAAATGTAGTTCCGGTTCCGTTTTTTCCACTCTGGTTTGCTGTGCTAGTAAATACTCCATTAAGAGCGATTCAGTAGAAAAAGTTACGGCGACACTAGCCCGAAAATAACACTCATAAAAGAGCAACCAGAGACTCTGAGTCATTACAGTATAATCGCCGATATGAGCGAACACTGTTAGATTCCAGCCATGTTTGCCCTGATAACTAATGACTCCACAGTGCATGACCCATGTGATCTTCAGTAGATGCAATGACATCATCATAAATTTAGTTTAACATGATAGATTTTTTTTCTCTGGGCAAGAAATAAACAATATGGCCACCTCTAGATGGAATTTTTATAATTTTACATTAATTAGAAATACATAACTAAAAAGTGACTGTGGGACATTTGATACGCCTCTAGCTCTCAAGTGTGTGTGTGTGTGTGTGTGTGTGTGTGTGTGTGTGTGTGTGTGTGTGTGTGTGCGTGTGTGTGTGTGTGTGTGTGTGTGTGTGTGTGTGTGTGTGTGTGTGTGTGTGTGTGTTAACAGACAGCTGTACCAGAGAATAGGCACTAAGATTAAAGTTTGACAAGAATTAATACATTTTTATGCATTTAATCTACTGATTTATGTTTATAATTTCTCTAGACAGCTTGAAGTGAGTTAACTTGTAAATATTTTACAGGGGGAAAAATACGGAGATGTATATCGCATATCGGAATTCAACTAAAAGATATATGAGTTTTGGTCCATATCGCCCAGCCCTATGCCACCATAACACTCATGTATCCGGTCCACGATAGTGCATTTACTATTGTGTTTACATTGTTTTAATGTATTTCAGAGATTTTTTAACACGGACAAATTTGTCCCTCGTGCCCCTCCACCTCTTTGTGCAATCGGCACCTCTAAACTCATGCTTCTCGTCTTTTCCGTCCCCAAATAAAACGCTTGCTGCTTATATTTGTAGTCCTTCAGTCACGGGCGAATACACGTTCATATGTTCAGACGTTTTCTGCAATGCGTTCTTCAATCTGTCCCATGTCTGCCGCTAAATACTTCTTTATTTTTTGAAGCGGCAAAGACGGTGCTTTTGACGAATGAAAACAGGAAGCCGCGTCTTGACGACTCACAAGCTTGCAGTCTCTGTCTCTTTCGATGGATATTTAAAATTTGGGGCATGCCTCTGTCTTCTTCCGCAAACCGACTAAGGGATCTACCATCCGTCCTGACTCAGAGGCTAAGACGGCCAAAGAATGCAGTGTGGTCCGGGCTTAAGACGTGTGACCATAACGGTGCATGGGTCGCCATCGTTGGGGACCAGTTTGGATCGTGTGACCTTGATGGCCTCATTAGTAACAACAATGGCTTTGTCAGTAACCTGTCAAGGTGCTTATTTCTAGCCACAACCTTTAAAGAGCAAGTCACCCCCTACCAGAGTATTCCACCACTCCCACTTCCTGTTTGAAAAATGCATCAAAGAGAGGGAGGAGCCGCTAACAAATACACACGACATTGTGACATCATATGGTACCAGCTAACGTTCTAGGGTACCTCTTAGCCAATAGCGATGGCAGATTTAAATTCAAATGCAGTGCAGAGTTTTTACCTGACAACGGCACAACACTGACAGTTTTAGGCAGAAAATCTTAATTTAAACTAAAATGCAGTAAAGTGTTGAACTATTGACTACACGTGTCTGCAGCACGATTAGACACACATTTATATAGTTTATCAGGAAAAAAAAATCATTTGGGGGTGACTTGCTCTTTAAGCATCGCTCTCCAAACCCAAGCGTTATAGTTTGGATGAGATGTGAAATAAAATCCAGTAGATTTCAATAAAAACTCTGAAAATCTCTATTTCTTTTTCTTCCTTTAACTTTTTGACCTCATCACCTCATAAATATCCTCAGCATTTCTGTTCAACTTCCCATAAATGCACAAAAAGAAACAAGCCGTGACCTTTGCTTTACTCCCTTAAACCTCTTGCCTAAGCACCGTATTAGCGGGCAGAAAAAACAGAGTCACAAGGACGCAACTAAGGCGGCTGTAAAGCTATGTGTCAATGAATGGAGGCTTCAGTGAGCAGTGACGTAGCCACGCAGGTTAGCTGTGATTTGTTGCAACGCGTGGGTCAAACTTTATGAGGCGGTGGCTTTAAAAACTTCACAGATGAGGCTGAAAATCACCTGAATCCCTCATAACCATATCTTGTTGCTGCTACAGAGCCTTCCTCTGTGCCGAGTAGAACCTTGATTCAGCCTGTTGAGCGACTGGTGCACTCGTAATAATTTAAACAAGCCTCACCGTGACAAGATGACCAAATTACTCCTGCTCTCAGCAAAGAGAATGAAGCTTCCCAGGCATTGAAACAGTATCGTCCCCTTTAACTTGGGACCCGCTAGGCTCTCAGCTCTAAGTACAACATCAAAGCTGGTGGATGCAGCAACGCCTCAGGTGGTGCTGATAACACCAGACAAGCACTGCCATGGTGCTGAGAGATAACAAGAACCAGATGATAATGACAGGTTCACGTTTGCTGCCCACTGGCCCGATAACCGTGGTAAAGGGGAGGGGTGCAGATGAGGTGTGTGTGTGTTTACCTCAGCACTGGGCCACAGGTCGTGGATGACGCCTTTGATCCTGTCCACCACCTCCAGTCTCATATTTTCCTCCTCTAACCGTGGGGAGATGTACTCGTAGAAGTCCTTGATCTCCTCGTGAAGCCTGTGAAGAGCACGGAAATGGAGAGTTAATTTACGCAGAACGGCTCAGTTCTTCAGGCAGGATGATGGTGAGGAGATAAAAACACAGCATTATGTCCAGGTGTGATTCAACACAGACATACGTCCTTTTATGAGTTTTAGTTTTAGGTCAAACTTCTCCGGAGGAGTTTATGTCTCTCAGAAGAAAATGCATCCTCACTACTCTAGTCTTAGTTTATTATAGTTCTAGTGGTACTCAAGATATTTTCCTTATCGGCCTTTTACAAGTGGAACATCAAAAAAGTAAATAACCACTGTGAGCTGAACACAGGGTATCTGCAGGTTTAAGGGAGCCACATTTAAGACTTTTTAAGACCTTTTTTAAGGCCACTTTGACCAAATTGAAGCTATTTTTAAAAATAAATTTAAGCTATAATTTCCAGCTATTGCCTGGAACCGGTGCTAACCACGTCGCGAACGTGGGACTAACCATCCATTTACCATTAAACTTGCACTTCCCCATGGTGCAAGCTCCCACTAGCTTAACCAGCTAATGTGCTCATCTAAAAATAGCCCCCTTTCACAACCAGCTGAATGTGTACGGTTCCGCTTACATCGTACACAAAAAATGCTGAACACCAACTAGAAATTCACGAAAATTTTATAGAACTAAAAGAATCTTGTTTCTTGGGTCTTTGGTAATTTAAGACCTTTTTAAACTGGATTTAAAGATTATCGGTCATTTTCTTAATGGATTTTTAAGGCTTTAAATTTGAAAAAGCAAATTTAAGACTTTTTAAGACGTTTTGAGGACCCGCGGATACTCTGTGAACAGTGACGCAAAGCTAAAAAGCAGAACAGTCCAAAAACAACAGTAACAATTTGGACTCTAAAGAGAAACTCAAGACATAAGGGCGGATATTCCAAGCATCCCTGTGAAGTCTGGAGGGACCTACGGTTAACCAGAGTGCTCGTGGCTATTTAAAGAGCAAGTCAACCCCAAATCAACTTTTTTTTCCTGATAAAACTATATAAATGCGTGTCTAATCGTGCTGCAGACACGTGTAGTCAGTAGTTTTGCACTTTAGTGCGTTTTAGTTATAATTTTAATTTTCTGCCTAAAGCTGTCAGTGTTGAGCCGTTGTCAGGTAAAAACTCTGCACTGCATTTGAATTTAAATCTGCCATCGCTATTGGCTAAGAGGTACCCTAGAAAGTTAGCTGGTACCATATGATGTCACAATGTCGTTGTGAGCCTGTGTGTGCGTGTGTATTTGTTAGAGGCTCCGCCCTCTCGGTCTGCTAGGCAACAGCATTTGTTGCATTTTTTCAAACAGGAAGTGGGAGTTGAGTAAGAATCTGGTAGGGGTGACTTGCTCTTTAAGCTGTTTCATAAAGAAAAGAGACAGGTTTGAATCAAAACAAAAACCTGCTACGTTCTCACATTGTCAATAAGATAAAGAGAACTCAGCAAAAAGCAGGAAAAGTTAGGGAGCAATGTTTGTTCCTGGTACAGATCACGCTGCCCACCCATGTTGAACAATTCATTGGCAGGGTTTGTCCAGACAGACATAGGACAAATCTGAGGGTGGACAAATAACAAAACACAAACACACAGCTGCAAGGACCTAGGAGGCCAAGAGCTGGCTCATTACCCCTCCCAAACGTGGCAGACATTCTGCTTTTGGGAGTGAAAAAGGTCAACAAAACAAAGAATTCCAGTCATCTGAACAAACCCTCGCATCTACCGACATTACCTGAGTTTCTGGATTAAACCCCAAAAAGCTTTGAGTGAATCTGCTGCTAGATGTTTGGGATACATTCTCTTGGAGGGACGTCAGTCAAAGTTGACATGATTTTTTGTTAGTTTTGAGCCTCATTCAAAATCTACTAAAACCCCGGCTGCAAACACGTATGTCCACCAACTCTGCTCGCAAAGCAAACCAGAATCATCGGAGACAAGCAGAGTCAAAGATCAACCTGAGTGTGAAAAGGCTGCATTATTTTATCAAATGAAGTCCTTGGACTCCACACCATTAATTAAACCGCTGTAACTAACAGTAATATCACTGGTCCAATGTACAGTGGAAAGTTAAAGTTCAGTGATACTTGGCACAGCCCCGGTAAAACAGAAATGTCTCATTACCAAGGAATTTCATACCAAGCTGCTGGGTGAAACAAACCTTTGTTGCTCCTCACCCAACCAGCATGTGGAAACACCTTCTGGTATTAACTAACCACAGACACAGGTGGCTGACAAAGATGGTTTAATACCGACAAACATTTAAAAGGTTAGAATTTTACATAAGATGCTTGGTTACGAATAGGGCTGAACGATTTTGGAAAATAATCTAATTGCGATTTTTGTTCTTCAATATTGCAATTTAATTCACAATTATTTTCTAAAGGGGCTTTTCTCATTTTTCAACTAACGGAAGCAAAAAAAGATCTATTTAACTCGTACTGAATATAAACAAGTTTATGTATCTACATATATCAACAAGTTTATTTGTCTACACATACATGAACACTCACAAGTAAAGTAGGGTTGTCACGGTAACCGGTATAGCGGTAAACCCCGGTAAAAAAGTTGACAATAAAAATAACCGTCCAGTTTTTAAAAAACTATATTATCTCGGTGGGTTTACCGTGGCCGCGGTTTCGGCGCGATGACCCTTACCAGCCACCGTCGCTTCAGCTGAAGTTCCCGCGGCGCGCACACGCACTTTTTAATTTGCAACGGCACCAAAACTTTGAAGCTGAAATAATGGCCGAAGGAGGAGACGGCAGCGCCCAGGACATCCATCAGCCCTCAAAGAAGACTAAATCGGAAGTATGGGCATATTTGGGATTTCTGAAAAATGCTGAGGGACAGTTAATAGAAGACGGCTATCCCGTTTGCAGAACGTGCAGGAAACAAGTGTCTGCAGAAGGCAGCAACACTTCAAATCTAATGGCACATCTGCGTGACGATCACCCACGTCTCCACAGCCAGTGCAAGGTAAGTTAACATTAGCATTTTAGCTGAAATGCATGACGTGAGGACTTTTGGTTGAGGGAGAATGCAACGAGTCACTATATACTGCAGCCGCAGCGTCCTCTGCCAGCATTTAAACCGTGTCACGGACACCCTGTTGCTGAATGAAGCATCTTATTTGTTGATGATGAAGAGAAATATACAATTAGTTCCTTGTCATTGATTTGTTTACTTATTCAATGCCATTTATACTTGAACATTTGGATTTGATTACATAGTGTAGTAGTTATTTTAGTAATTTGTTTAAAGTGGCTATTTATTTTAAATACATATTTTTTAAGGTTGACTTGTACAGCGCTCAAGTCAAGTGTGGACTGGAGTTTTAGATTTTCATTTTGATAATGAAGAAAACAAGTATATGAGAAAACAAGTGGTGTTTCTTTGATTTGTTTACATATTGTTTATGTTTTGAATGTTTGGATTTGTATAATTTAAACCTGCACTGACTACTGTAACATGTTCCAGAAAAATAAGCTATTTGTTCCTTTACTTGTGAAAAGTTGCACTTTTGCTAAGGCTTTGTGTTATTTTAGGTTTAATAAACACTGTTAAACCTTTTCAGAACTATTTCAGTTTGTGTAGAACAGGACTATCAATGCTTTCTGAACATATGCAACACCGTTTAAAAAATACCGCGATAATACCGAAAACCGTGATAATTTTGGTCACAATAACCGTGAGGTTAAATTTTCATACCGTGACAACCCTAAAGTAAAGACAACATCTTGTAAGGTGCGATGCTTTGCAGCTAGGAGCACATCCCTTGAAGGAGAATAGGTATTAGCATCAACTGTGAAAATTTATTTGCAGGAAAGAAGTGTGTCCCATTTATTGGTCTTTTGTGTTTAGTTTTTGACGTCTTGTCCATGCAGAGCTTCCGTAGTTCAGTTACGTTCACAGCTGCTAGCCAAAACTCAGTGGAGTTTAAGTACAGTTTTCTAGCTTTACAAAAAATATCTGTCTGTAAATATTTGATTAATGGCAGTTTTTACTTTTTATTAGACTCCAAATGTAATAATTTGGCACATTCCTAATTCGTAAGAATCTATTCGGCGATATTAGCATTAGCATCCCTATGGGGTTTTCAATGTATATTAGCATTGTGCTAACCATTCGCTGCCAGTCAAATCGCAGCCTTTGCGATTAGAAAATCTCCTTTTGTCACATCGCAATTTAATTGCATGTGCAATTAATCGTTCAGCGCAAATATGACATTTCTAATAAGAAGTCAATAATAACAGTCATTAATAATTAACTGGCTTATGCTGACGTGAGTTAGAGTGATGATGTAAGATGTCTCTGCTTTGGCAGATCGTAAACACATTTGCAGTGTTTGTTTATAAGATTTTAAGTAACTAGAAATCGGTTTTAGCTTGATATGGTCAGGTTTATGTCCACACAACATCACGAGACAACCTCTAGTTTTATTTTGAGATTTTTTTATTTACGCATGAAAACAATTTTTTTTTAATTTTCTAAAGTAAAACATGAGATCAGCTGTTCTGTCCTCGTTAACCACCATAATCACGTGGTCCTTCTCCTTGTGCACGCTCCATCATTCATTTACTCCTAAGTTTCACTTCAGAGAAAAAGCAACTCAGCAGCTGAAATCCCTGTCGCAGACAGATTTTTTTTCATTGGTGTTCAAAGCAGTGAATGAAAGAGGAAAGTGGAAGATGTGTTATGCAACAAAACTAGAGAGAAGAGGGTTTTCTGGAAAGTAGGAAACTAAAAAAAAAGCTTCACTCCAAATAAAGACCTCGGCTGAAATGAATCAGCTGCTGTCAGGTACCTTAACAGGTTCCTGGTGTTGATTTAATCACTGTCAAGTTGTCAAAGTCACAAGAAGTGAGAGAAGTAAGAGTGCTGGGGCGTAACCAGGAGCTTTGATTCCAACAGAGCAACACGGTTTTGTTGTGTTTCTAATAAGCAGCAACAGTTTTATTACTCTTTAGAAGACAAGCCAGGTTCTCGGTCAGAACTCCA